TTTTATAGCATGATATCCCAAGATACTCGATGATATCCTAAACTATAGTCTTAATAGTCTGCCTTGCTCGGAGCCTAGTCTAAATAGCTCGGAGCCTAGCTCGAAATATCGAACTAGACTCCGAGATATTAACTGGGTTTTGTGTAATATAAACTGGATCGTTTAGTTAAAAGAATCAATCTCAGGATTCAATGATTCAATCTTGGGATTCATTGATTTAATCTAGGATTCAACGATTCAATCTAGGATTCAATGATTCAATCTTAGGATTCAATTATTCAATCTTAGGATTCAATGATTCAATCTAGGATTCAATGATTCAATGTTAGGATTTAATGATTCAATCTTAGGAATCAATGATTCATTCTTAGGAGTCAATGATTCAATCTTAGGATTCATTGATTCAATAGGATGCAATCATTGAATATTAAGATTGAATCCCCAGATTAAATGATTGGTTCCTAAGATTGAATCATTGAATCCCCAGACTGAATCACTGAATCCTAGGTTTGAATCATTGAATCTTAAGATTGTATCATTGAATCCTAGATGGAATTATTAATAGAATCCTAGAATAAATCAATGAATTCCAAATCAATGAATTCCAAAGTTGAATGATTGAATGAGATTAATTCTTTTAACTGAAGGACACAGTTTATATTACACAAAGCCCAGCTAATACCTTGGAGTCTAGTTCGATAGTTCGAGCTAGGCTCCGAGCTATTTAGATTAGGCTCCGAGCAAGGCTGACTATTAAGACTATGATCTAGGATATCATCCACTATCTTATGACATCATAGAACATCCTAGGGTATCATTCAATATCTTAGATATCATGCTATACTTAGGATATCATGATATGCCTTAGGATATCATGCAGTATCTTAGGATATCAATATCTTTGGATATCATGCAACATAGGTGTAGAGTTTTGTTTTTGTCTGAGGGGGCTGACTTACCAAAATTGTTGTCGGAGGGGGAGACGAAAAATATTTCCTAATCTGTTAAAATTACTCGTTACTTTTACATAATTCTTTTGTAATTTCAACTACTATATTGCACATGTCTTCTTTTTAAAATTTTTGCCCGACCTGGGGGGGCTGCCCTCCGTGCCCCCCTGCCCAGCCCCGTACGCCTATGGTGACAAATTGTGAAAAAACCGTTATTTTAAAAGAAAATTAATTGGAGACCTGACCATTGTGACCAGTATTAACCTAACAGATCTGCATAATTCGTGCGGTACAGGGTTAGTACAGACCGTAATACTGTATTATGTATAGTTAGAGGTTACGGCATTAGACTATAGAAAGTTCTGCAAAATTTCTAGAAGGACTGAGCCCCCACCCCCAGTAAGATTTCTCGAGGGGCTCGAACCCCCTCAACCCCGCCCCCCACCCCACCCCATACTCTACACCTATGTCATTCAATATCTATAGGATATCATACTATACTTTAGTATGCCGCCATATTTTTAGGTTTACGCTCGCGTAATACATTTATCCGCTATAATCCTTTAACAAATATTAATGACTTTGGCAGCACACATTTTCGATGTTAACAAGACAAAATTTTGATATATCTCACAAAACCCACAATTAACGTACACTTAAATAAAACGCTCGCGGAATTTGTACCGACGCTTAGCTATTGTCATTAGATGGCATGGGGACGCGAAAAATTGTTGAGCTCAGCATACAATCATAATTAGTCCTCCACTACCGGCCCCTCACCGCCCCAAAAATAATAGTCGAAACAACCTTTGTGACGAGAATGGTAGGCTCAGTTTAATGACTGTTTCGCCCAAACTCAGCATGTGCGCACGTCATCATGAATATCAATTATCTCACCCTCATTTACTGAATATTTAATTACCTCAGCGGCGCCCCGTTTTATACTAATGATGATGCGGCACCATGTTTTATGCTAATGATGCTGCGGCACTCTGCGGCGCCCCCAAAATCCGGGTCGAACGGTACATCTATTACTACTTACGCTACTTATTGCCGTTGCATATTAATTCAAAAATCAGTGATATTAAGGCAAAGTGATAAAACTAAAGTGACAAACAAGCTAACAAGAACAGTAAATAGGACACGAAATAAGTAAATAGATGACTAGAACGACGTAACTACAATGTACTACATGACAACTTAGTGTAGGTCAACCAAAAGTCTTCTTCCTATACAAGTTGCATGCAGTAAAATGCATCTAATTTAAACGTACATAGTATCATTGATCCATTTAGGATTTTCTTCCCATTATAAAAATTCTGGCTTGAAAATTGGCTCACTGAATTGGAAATGATGATCTATCCAATTCTAGTTTTTGAACCAGTGAAGGATTCGAACATTTTTAAATATATATAGCTATATTTAAAAACTCAAAAGACAAAGGAAATCACTGCTGTGTCGGTGGTTTTATATGTGATAAAAAATCATGTTCATTTACATAAACTTTAGTTTATAGCTTTGATTTTCTCGGCTTAGACTTTTAAAATTACTTCGCCAGTGAACTCTTCAGATGGGTCGTTTTTTAAGGCATCAAAACACTCGCAGTCCTTGCTTTATCAGATATAAAACACTCGAGCTGCTCTCTCGTTTTTTATATCTGATAAAGCACTCCTGCTCGTGTTTTGAATAGTACATAT